TGAGCACAGAGAAACTTTCAACTTTCAGCAGATGAATGTGAAAACATCCTTCTAGAGTCAAACTCTGCACATAGAGCATTCAAAGAGCACACTGTAGGGACAAGAAGAAAAACTCATTTTTGAGTGGATGGGGACTGAAGCATGATGGTTCAGTCTTTACAAAGTCAACACACCTAAAAAGTTTCCTTTGGCCATGAGAGAGTGTTGAACTTTTTCCCTCGATGAAGGATTGGTTTCAGACTGTGCTTCTATGCCGATTGCACACACACACACACTTCCTTTATCTCTGTTGAGGAGAAGGTGGAGAAAAACATCCACTGACCTACCGATGTGTCCTTGAGCAAGGCACTACACCCGCACAGTGTCTCTAATGAACACTGATAGCTTGTCTTTCTGCACACGCAAATAAACGCACTGGAACTTCCAGCCTTGACTTCAGTTTGAAGTTGTCGGTGGAGCAGTGAAGTCTGTAACTGATAGAGAGACTAAATGTCATTATGAGGGACTCCAGTAGGTTGTAGACTTCCCTGAAGAACAATGTGGGGCTGGGTGACTGTGTGAGCACCTGTTTGCTGCTTGCAGGCTGTCACCATCAGGGAGCAGCGCTAAGTGGATGTGACTGCTCTGATTGCACTCCGCGGGAAAGCGAGAAGAAATAGCCTACCTCTGATCATCAACGCGTCATATAATGTTTCAGCGGACGCCCCTCCCCCTGTCTCGTTTTTTCCCCTCACTCAACCTCTCCTTTGACTCACAGAGGCGGCTCACCACTGGTGCACGGACCGTGGAGAATACGGGCAGAAGATGGCTGACTTAGCCGGGCACCGCAAGCCCTCGGCGGCATCGCCAGCGTCACACGGGCCGCTGAAAAGCTGCAAGACATCCGCCGTCTGGCGACTGTAAACAGCTGCCGCTGCCTCTCTCACCCCCTCCTCTCCCTTCCTCACCGCAAATATTGACAGAAGTATCACAGAGAAAACATGGCAGAGATGGAAAAAGAGGGCAGACCTCCGGAAAATAAAAGAAGCCGAAAACCAGCTCACCCGGTGAAAAGGGAGATAAATGAAGAGATGAAGGTAATAACAAGGGGTCTGTGCCCAGTTGCATGTGATTACGCGTGGAGTGGTTTGTGAGGAGCGTGCATGTCTGTGGAGGCACTAAGCAGGCGTCCTCAGTGGAAATATACGTTACACTCAAGTGCAATTGGCTGCGTGATAGTCAAACTTTGATTTATGATTTTTTTTTTTACCCAAGTTCTATTGTCATGTATCCACGCTGAATGGCAGCCTCAGCAGCGCACCCTGCCAAACCTACCGCCTTGCACAATGGATGCGGCACCCATTCACTGCTACTATTCTACGAGGAAGTTTTGAATCAAGAATACGGTGTACGTTCCCGTCGCTTCATGTCATAATTTCGCCGTTTGTGTGCGCTGCCTTTCATGGCTTACCCAGAGTTAATGGAAAATCCAGTGCGTCAGTGAAGGCGTCAACAGTGCCTCTACTATTACTATTAATACTATTACACTACGGCGCAACGGAGAGCAGCCAATGTGCATAATTAGTATAAATCAATGGGGGAACACTCGCCTATCCGATGCTTTTGCGGGTCCATGTCGACTGCGTGGGTTCGCCTCTGAGTCTAGGTGTGTGTTTGTGTTTATATGTGTGTGTGTGTGTTGCCCAGCTGCCCAGAGGCGTGTGATCCAGATGTGCGTCTGTGAGCTTTACGCACTCGACAAGAACACATTGTCTCCTGTGTTCGGCCTGCACGACCCTATTCCAATAATCACCCGCACGTTTCTGGTCGGGTTTTATTTTTTACTCGGTGCACATTGTGATATTTGAGCTCTGAGCTCTCCGTGCGGTTCATTGTGGAGAAAGAAAGTGTTCCTCGCTGGTCGTGTGTGTGTGTGTGAGGCAGGCTGTGTGTCCGCTTTGTCTTCATCTCTTCATTGTTTGTACACATTTGGCTGGAGGCACACACATGTACTCAGATATATGCAGGTGATCACATCGAGAATAAAAGTGGAGATAGTGATTTTGAGGCAGTCGGAGGAAAAGCGAGGGTGCTGGCTTTGAGCGAGTCCTGAAGCAACCCTGTGATACAGCCTTTTTGTATTTAGACCTGTCCAAAATACCAGCCGCGTTCATGTGTCACCGCTTCTCCTCTGTAACTGTAAAACATAATGTTCTTATTATTGATGACAGTTTAGATGCTTTGTTGATGAGCTCAGCTGCCAAACATGCATTTATTATTATTACAGAGCAAAAAGGAACGGGCAATAAACTACAATAATATTGCACTGATGATGTAGCTAATTAAAATCATTTTTTAAGGAGTGTAATCTAGAATACTGTATTTTACTGTAGGTATTTTCCTTGTGTGCTCTGCTTAGTGGCAGCTTGAACAGATGCAGACCTTTTCAGAGTTCTCCTTGCTTGTTACCTATAACTGCACTGGAGGTCCGGAGAAATGGGATTTCTTTTAATGGCAGGATTTTAACTGCCAGTTAAACTGGAATTTTCTTCCTGATGAAATTAAAAAATATTTCTCATGGTTTTCCATTTGAGAAGAAATAACCATCCTCCTGCCCTGATGACAGCAGGGAGGGATGCAGGGTGGTGTCAGGCAGGGTCTCTCCATGGAGAAATTTCCTTATTTCTTATCAGGGGAGCACTTGAGGTGGTCTCAGTGGAGCGTTCAGAATGGAGGAAATCTTTACGAGCATCGTTTAGGCACAATGAAGCATTGTCTTGCCACATTTGTAGCACACAAGTCCAGGTTTTATTTGGTCATTTTTATCGTTACAGCAGAAAGACATTTATTACCATGAATCTATTTGGAGTCACGGTGGAAAAAAAATCTCCTCTTATAATTTATCACATCTGATGACATAATTATTTGATGTCAGCCATCAGTCAGAAATGATGTTTTATTTGCAGGTTTGTAAGTTTTGCATTCAGATGACAGATGCTGTGACATGGGTCATCATTCAGGGTTCAGTGAATTGACATCTCTTACAATATGTTTTGGAGAGCAGACATGTCAGTTAAACATCTCGTTTGATCAAAGCGCCTTCATTTGTCATCTGATTTCTAACTGTCATCAGTCAAATTGTGGGTCTGAGTTTTTGAATTTGAGGATGTGCCTGGCCAAATAAAAATGTCAGTAGCTGGTGGATTTTTTTTTTTAATGGAATACATCAGATACAGTGCTGTGTTGTTGGTGTCTAGGAAAAGAAACAACACTGACAACTCCAGTATCCCCATCAATACCAGGGGAAGCTACTGAATGGAGCAGCAGATGTGGTTAAGGTGTCAAAACACTTTCAAAGGCTAAACAAGTTCGATTGAAGCTCATTACGCAACCTTGAATTTCATCTCCTATTGCACGCACGCACGCACACATACACACACACACACGCATCACAAGCTGCGTTCTACAAATTTAATTTAATAAAACAGTGATCCAAAGATAGAAACTAGTGAAGTAGAAAATAGCTGCAGCCTCTCTTTAAATACCTTCACTGTTATTGGACATTATGGGATCTGGTGGAATCATGTTAAAAAAAGGTAAAAAGAGTATATTGCATGGTTATGAGAGTATTATACCTAAGCCTGGACCCAGCATTATGACCTGCAGAGTTGCAGTTAATTAACACTATGACATGGTAGCATGCCTACAACCAGAACAGTAAATCCAGTAAGTGAACTTTAATGAATTGATTTTCTGAAGAAAACTCTTTGATTCTTCTATTGCAAGTGTTCAGAACAAAAAGACAGTTTGTTCTCTCATCTTCAATAATTCAGACCAAAGTTGGAGGAAAAAACACACACGCAGACACACAATGTGTCCTTGTGAGGGATCATACTTCTCCGAAAAACCAAACAGTCTGACAGTGTTTCCTTCATCTGGCTCCTTAATGTGTGCCACGGTAAAATAAGCCCTGGTGAGTAATCAAGCAGAAGGAGGAGTGGGCATGGAGGGGATATGAGAGGCTGGAGAGTGGGGTAAGAAACAGTGGAGAAAGGAATGTATACAGCGCTGGGCTGGCTAAGCTGTAAAAACTGTAACCTGAGTGTCTCTGCTGGATCAGATATCAAGGAAAGTAGAGGGAAATGAAAGCAGAGGAGAGGGAGAGGCAGAGGAGGAGAGAGGGAGCAGGGGAGTGGAAAAGTGGAGAAGGAGGAGGCAAAGGGAAACTTGGCGTGTGGATTCGGGAATGTTATCACGGTATACAGTGACCTGCTCTGGTTTCTACCCGCAAGGTATCCAATTCCCACCACCATCATTACCACAAGCTATACTGGCCATGGCTGGGTCCTACTGGAGGGAAACAAGGGGGAAGACTGTAGAGAAGCAAGACTTTAAATGTATTTTTATCATTATCCACTGTTGAATACAGGCAGAAAAAGTGCCAGCTTGTGAGTTTGTCAGTGTGTGTGTCGTATTTGCCCCGTATCTGCACAGAGTACATCACTAATTATCCTGCAAAGGCTCTGTCAAACCACCATCTTGTCTTTAACTGTTTCTGGCCGATGCTAAAGAGGACAGTGTGGGTATTTTGTTGCTGAAGGTTTCTACAGCGTAGATAAATACACCGAAATATCATCCTCATATCAAAGGTCTAACCCAGAGTTCTCAACAAAGACATCAGTAAAGGCAGGGATAATTGAAAGCTGATGGAAAATAAATAATAATTTGATTGTAATGATAAAAGATCATACACTGTATGTACACTTAGATGGTAGTTTAGAAGGTACACCAAGTTAGTGGCACCCAGTACTGTCATATGGGGACGGTTGAAATGTTTTTGAATACTGTTCAACAGCACCTGTATTCAAAATGACCATGAGACATTTGATGATGACTAAAGCTCTCTGCAATAGTGTCAACTAAATATGATGAGCTGATTTATTACAATCATGATAATTGAGCTTCTATAAATTGGATTAGAGGAATAAATCACATTCCTTAACATAGTACACAGTTTTGTAAAGTTATGACAAAAATGAAGGGTACTTTGGGAATGTCTAGTTTTTAATTTTCTCAAAGGAGAAAAACAAAGACATCATAAAGTGGTGTTTAAAATGTACCAACTAATGGTCACACAAAGCACGTTAGGCATCTCACATACATAGAAGGGCAATAATAGTGGAAATATCTTTTATAATTATCCATCCTCATCTATCACTTGTCCTGTATGTGGTTGCTGGGATTTTAAATAGGACTGTAATTTCTGTTGCCACAAGATACAGTTGCAGGATAATGACAAATGCTAAAATGTAAGCACAAGTAAAGAAGATTCATAAAGTCAGCAAACTGACTCAATAATGTCAGTTACACGGCTCTTTCTATCTAAAGTTAGCTAACATTGGCCACTATAATCTACTGGTCATACCAGACCAAGTAAGGCTGTAGCAGCAGAACCCCTGAGTCTGTTGATGCTTATGAATTCAACTCTTGTTTGTAAGAGGAGTGCATTATTTCTTCTATTAAACGTTACAATATTTTACTTTAAAAACAGCAATTGTTAATATGATGATGGCCATCTCTTTGCTTTTTGCAATGAGTGACCCATTGATTAGCAAGCAGTCAGTCACTGTTGTCATTATTATGTATTCAGTCAGTTCACTTCTTTTGCTGCTGTTTTATTGACAAAACAAGACTTCACATGTAAAGCCTGTTGTGACCCCTGAAGGCTGTAATATTCATTTCCACACTAGCAGTAGATGTACCAATATAGTGATGATATTGTTATTCTTGGAGCCTTATTATCAGAGGGATTTCACACTTTATTTCAAGGTTGATATCGGAGGAAAGTGCACAGCCTCATTGACATCTCATTATCCTCTTGGGGAAAATCATGTGCTCAGTATATTTAATGGATTGATATTTTAGTCTGATGGTGGCACTAGAGGAAACATCATAGTGTCCAGAATGGAAAGGGTTTGTATTCTTGGCAGCAGCTATATAAACTTCACAGCAGTGTGGCTATTAGTTTTGTATATTTTTTGTGTACAAGTTGACATTTTATCTGATGGTGGTTCTAAATCTTCTTGATTTACAGTCA